TGGTCTAAATAGCCTAAAAGGTTAAATTGGGAAAATGAGATGCATTTCTTTTATTCTGTAACTTATCCGATTTTAATTTGGATCATTTTAATTTTCTTGATTGTTTTCCAGAAAAGTCATTTCACCCTAAGATTTGCAACTGATTTTGCTGACTTGGCTTTGATCATCCAGTCACCAAATCCTAGCCTCTTCTGTACTGGCCTCCTTCTGGATGAGCCCTCAATGTGGTCCTTAGGAAGCAAGGTCAATCCAGGCACAGTGGCTCAAGCCTGTAATCTTAGCATTTTTGGAGGCCAACATGGGAGGACTGCTTGAGCCCAGGAGTTCAAGGCTTCAGTGAGCTGTGATGGCACCACTGCACTCCAGTCTGGGCAAATGAGCAACAGCCTCGAAAAACAAAGTAAATATAAATAAAAAGGAAGCAAGGTCAAAAGAAACCATATGCAATAGGAAGTGCATTTTCTACATCTGGCATTTTGTCTGACTGTTGGGCAACCACTTCGTAGTGCTCCAGGGCCCACGACATTTACTGCTATTGCCATTCCTGTGATGGCACTCAACCTCTCCCACGCGTGACCCCCAATATTGTGTAAGGGTGTAGGCTTGGCCCTGACTCACAGGGAAGAGGCGATTTGTATCCTCTGAGTCACTGGTACCACTTCCTGCTGGCACATCTGAGATTTCACTGAAACATAACCTGAAAAATGAAGGTAGAGAGATATATAGGTGAGGTTCACATTCCTAAAACCCATTTGGAAATTTGATAGAAATAGTGACCTCTGAATGCATTCCCATTTTTGTAGCTGTATTGTAAAAGAAGCGCCAACTGCCAATTTTGAGTTTACAGATCATCTGTGTTACATCACCTGGCAAGAAATTCCTCTGTATCTTAGTTACCAATGCCACCAGACCAGAAATGCCACCAGATCTGTTTTTTTGACACAGACACTATCTAAAATCTTTAGTATTATAGTGAATTATTTGCTTAGCAAGAATCTACTGTCAAGAATGAAAAAGCCAAATATAATATTTGAGGTCCAATCATACAGAAATTATGTTCAAACAACACTAAGGTCATGAAAAACCTGACATTAAGGAAATATATGCATATGACCTCCCTGTATGACTCATTAAAATAATGACTAGCGATTCTTAAGGGTAACTGCATAGTGGATATAGTATTTCTCTGGAGATAGATTTTGTATTCATTGTATCACATTCACTCTTCTACCCTAGTTTGCAAGTGTTTGGGAGCAGAGGCATATTGCAGGAACATTTGAGAACTACTGTTTTAAAGCAATAGTGCTGTGCAGATGGACATGACTTAGAATTAATTTTGCTGTTTTATTGGCCACATCCATCCATGATGGAATGGCATTTATACATATACTTTAATTTGAAAGGAACATTTAAAATTGTATACGATTCCACCTGTAAAATATCCTGCTGTAGGATTAATGCAGCAAGTCTCACAGAAACTATCCTGAGCAATGGACTGTGTCCAAGGGAGCGTCACAAGTAAGGAAAACCCAGTTTTTGTGGAGGCACACCCTGAGCTGAACATTCTTTAATTAAGAAAGACAAATATTTCACCTGTGGCCTGAACAACTGGAACAAAGTTTCCAGCAGTGGAAAAACTAACAACTACTAAAAACCTTAAAAAAAAGAAGACTAACAGCAACACTCCAAAGTAAGTTGGATTCTATAATAGTTGCAGGTTGCAATTGGAGGCAATTCCAAGCAGAAAACGTTAGGCTTTAGTTTATGCAAAGGTTAGAGAAACTAGCTTCAAATGTGCATTTTTTTCTCCCTGGCTAGCATTTTCCTAGAAGGAGAATTAGTAATGTCTCCTCCAAAACTTTCCTCAGTTGAAGAAATATGTAGGAACAGGAATGTTAAGGATGTAAGCACGTGCAACTAAAGCTCCAATTTGTATTGAGGAAACTGTGTTAGTTAAAGGATTTAATTCTTCAGTAGTGAAAGTATGGTGAAATTATTATTGGGATTTAAAATAAAATTGACTTGAATGAGAATCTAGCTTATCCTCGATAAAAAGCTTAGTGAAATACTTTTCATCTTGGTTCAACTGATAATGAAATCTAAGCTTTAGCTATTTCTTTGTCATTCAATAAAAATATATTTTTGTGTGGTTCCATAAGAGCAATTGAAGCAGCATGTATATTGTTGAAAAGCATGGAGTTGGGAGGGGATAATTCTGAATCTTTAAAAACAACAGAATTTTCAAATCATTGAAGAATAGGAAATTTGATGTCAAAAGATAAATTCGTAACTCTTCTCTTCGGTGATCATAAGTGATCTTAGACAAGATATTTAATTTAAATACACTGAGGGTATTTGAGACTAATAACTACTTCACAGAATTAAGTGTGAAATTTGATATATGAAGTTACACATTATGATGCTGATGCCGATGTGTAATTTAGTTTTCAGAACCCAAAAATATACAATTGGCTTAACAGATACAAGCCTTCTCTAACTGAGAAAAAATAAAATTCCTGTATTACATGAATTAAATTTTTCTTTACAGTACCAAATTGCAGAGATGTACAAACTTGTTATAAACCAGTAGAGGGCACTGTCCGCATACACTGCTAATACCAGGGGCTAGAAGTTGAGAGTCAAGAAACAAATATTTAGGGATATGTCAGCCATTTCAGGAAAAAAACAACAACAAAAAATTAGTTTATTTCACTGTATTCTTCCCCAAAATCTATAAGATAGGAAAACTTAGATAAACATTAAACTCTTTTTAATATTTTCAAGATCACGTAGCTCAAGTTTTCCTCACAAGACTGCAGAAAAGTAAATTAACTTTTTCGAGATCACGTAGCCCAAGTTTTCCTCACAAGGCTGCCTTCCGCCATACTTTGTGGTCTCTATGTTGGGTTAAATACTCTACTTCAGTTACAGCTACCATAATTTATTCTCTGTGATGTCCATTATACTCTAGTATTATTGCCTATTTCCAAATTCTATAAAGTGGCCCATTTAACAATATGTATCCTTGGGAAAAGTTATTTAAACTGTATATGCCTTAGTTTTCTCTAATGGGGATAATAATAGTATCTTACTCGAATTGGCACTGAGAGGACTAAATAGTATAATAGAGATAAGGTGAATACGACCATACCTTGTTGTATTAGTTTGTTTTCACAGTACTTTAAAGAACTTCCCTGAGACTGGGTAATTTATAAAGGAAAGAACTTTAATTGACTCACAGTTCTGTATGGCTGGGGAAGTCTCAGGAAACGTACAATCATGGCCGAAGGCGAAGGGGAAGCAAGCACCTTTTTCACAAGGCGGCAGGAGAGAGAGGGGAGACGGAGGAACTTCCAAACACTTTTAAAACCATCAGATCTCATGAGAACTCACTCACTATCATGAGAACAGCATGCAGGAAACCACCCCCATTGATTCAATCACCTCCCTCCCTACAGATCCCTCTCTCAACACATGGGGATTGAAATTGGAGATGAGATTTGGGTGGGGACACAGAGCCAAACCTTATTACTGGTACATAGTACCTGTTCGAGAGATGGATGGTCCTCTGTCTGAACTGTGAAAGGAGTGGAAAGTCGAATATATTTTGTTGCCTTTATGAAGGCATTAATCATCATTTCATAACAGTTACCACTTACTTAGCTACTTCAACGAAACAGGTTGATTCAAACTCTTCCTGTGCTTACAGAAACTGGATTCTCAATGTGGTTCATCTGGCATGCCTATTTCTTCTCATATTAGATAGGATATATTCTGATTTCACCCAGATTACCTTTACCTAGCTGCCAATCAGTCAAGGAGAATTTTCAGGAGTAGGAAGTCATTCTATTTATCACACACCTTAGGCCAATGAACACCTGAATACAAACGAAAATGTCCAGCGGACTAAACAAAATAACATGGGAGGTATTTTTTTCTCAAAAGACCACCTTTAGGGTGTAGAAAAAGCAAGCTTAACACACATGTCCATTATCCCCCACAGTAGGTATTATTCACTTCTTCAAACAAAATATGTCTAATTTTTTTCAAATCTCAGTTCTGAAATTCGTTATTCCCCAAAGCAATTGCAAGCTGAAGCCATTAATTAATTTAGTGGAGCTTAATTGCTGCTGCTACTACTACTACCACATTAGTATTTACTATATGACAGTTACTCAAATAAATTGGAAAGAGTGTTTGAAATGCAAATACCTAAAGCTTAAACAGAAGCAGCTAAAAGCTCTTAAGTAAACATGTGTGCAATTAACAGGGTTCTTCTTATGATGCTTCCTATACAATTCAGAAATTACTTGAGTCATTCTGATATCTATGTTCCAACATTTTATCTTTTCACTGAATACACATGATGAAACAGCTGATTCAAACTCTTCCTATGCTGACAGAAACTGGATTCCAGGGCTCAGTATGGTTCATTTGGTATGCCTGTTCCTCCTCATATTAGACAATATATATTCTGATTTTACTTAGCTTGCATTGTGTTAATTAAAATCTATATTCATGTGTAATGCAATGCAAAGAGTAACTTAGGTACATAAATCAATAAGAATGTTTCTTAGGTTGAGTTTCTTGTTACCATAAGTGGAAACTGATTTTTTATTTAGAGTCTTTTTTGTGTGTGTGTGATGGGGTCTAATTTGGAGCCCATGATGGAATAAAATAGTGGAAATTCTCCAACTGATGTGCATCTTAGGAAATAAAACTTCAAAATCAAATCTTTGAAAATGTTGTTGTGAAATATTTAGAGCAGGTCAAATCTGTAACCATGAATGTAATGCCAAGGCTTTTATCCTTCCACAGACTAGCTGGGGGTGTTTGTATTTTCTGTTATATGCCTGTTTCCATGAATTATTTTGTTTTATGGTTTTGATGGACCAAATCCATGAAACAAAACTCTGTAAGTACTGCAGTTATGTAGAAATTTGATCAAGATTTCTTTCCTTAACACATTAATTATATATTTGATTTTTCTTCATAAATAGGTTTCCATCTTCTACAGGCAGTCCTCAGTACAACTGTGATTCCATCATGTATCCCAGGAGAGTCCAGTGATAACTGCACAGCTTTAGGTAAGCCCAAGTTTGTCAATGTGGCATCAAGAGACTACACATTTTTAAACAGAAATATAAGCTCAAAGACCATACGTATGTGATAATAAAAAGAAAAGGGTAGGAATAGCTGCTATATTACTTTTTAAACCACCTTATAAACTAATGTTCTGAAAAAATTATATAAAGGAATAACTGGTAGGAGAGGGACCAGACAAATTATATACACAGATTTGACTGTGAAGAGATAGGGAAAAACAACAACAACAAATTGCATTCCCTTTGGTCGTCTCCTGGCTCTTTACTGCAAAACATTCTCAGAGACCACACTGACTGGATTCCGGGAAAAACAGCAAACCAGGAAAACTTCGTACAGAGTAGGTTCTCTATCTCCCTTTCTATCCCTCTCTGTCTCTTTGTAAGAAGAACAAATGATGGTCGTTTCTTTCTAGGCACAGTGTTTATTCAGAAAACATTTATCGAGTACTTAGTATGCACCAAACACTGTGCTAAGGCATAGAGATACAAAGATAAGTAATACAGTTTTTTCCCCACGAGGATTGTGGACTCCAGAAATAGTCCAAGGGGGATCAGCTTTATCTTCAGTCTGAGCTACAAAATCAAGATAACTGAGTTATTTTGAGGAAGCAGGATATTTTCCATAACAACTTTATCTTTTATCCCTCACCATCAGGTCTCTGGAGGTTCAGTCAGCCTCCCCCCATCATCTTTATTTTTTTTTTCCTTCTTTGGTTATTTGGGCAAGAGTATTACAATCAAGTTGCTATTTTAAAAATGATTTTATAAGCATCTTTCACATTTTGGTATCTAAAATTTTCTAAAATGAGTTTCACACAGAGGCTCCTATTTTCACTGTTGTATTTGCCTGACAGGCCTTTCTCACTCAGGATTTGTCTAGTTTGGATTCAGGCCTCATCAGTAGAGATATTGGGAGACTGGTTAATTCATTAATGGTAACCTCAGCAAGTTGAGAACATACACCAAAGCCAGCCTTACTGATGAAAAATCCACTATAGAATTAAGCTCCTTTGAATCAATTAATGGTATGAGCTTGCAACGGCTTTGGGGAGTAATAGATTTCAGAAATGTTTTGGGGCTTGAGAAAAATTAGACACATTTTGCTTGAAGAAGTGAATAACACCCACTTGGAGAATAATGACACGTGTGTGTTAAATTTGCCTTTTCTACCCTTAAAGGTTGTTTTCTGAGAATGAAATCCTCGCATGTTATCTTCTTTTGTTTAGTCTGTTGGACATTCTCCTTTGTATTCAAGTGTTTATTGATTGGTCTAGGGGGTGTGACAACTAGAGTGACTTCCTGCTTCTCAAAATTCTCCTCGACTGATTGGCATCTGACCTGTTTTGTTGAAGCAGCTGGGTGGTTACTGTTATGAAAGAGCGAGAAATTCTTCCATACAGGCTAGAGAATATATTCAACTTTCCACTTCTTTTACAGTTCAGACAGAAGACAATCCACGTGTGGCTCAAGTGTCAATAACAAAGTGTAACTCTGACATGAATGGCTACTGTTTGCATGGACAGTGCATCTACCTGGTGGACATGAGTCAAAATTACTGCAGGTAATATGTCAGAAATAAACAAATACAGTTTGTAAAATTTTGTTTTATAGATTTAGGGGTACAAGTGCAGATTCGTTAGTGGATATATTCAGTAGTGGTGAAGTCTGAGTTTTTAGAGTACCCACCCCTCGAACAGTGTGCATGGAACCCATTAGGCAACTTTTCATCCTTTAACCCCCCCTAAAACTCTTCTACCTTTTGAGGTCTCCATAGGCTATTACTCCACTCTCTATGACCATGTGTACACATTATTTAGCCCCTACTTGAAAGTGAGAATATGTGATAAACAAATGCAGTTTTACTCTTTTTATTTCTATTTTTATACATTGAAATTACCCTATATTTCCATGGGATGTTAAATGCAGTATATATAATATTAGAAACTTTTCTGAGTTTTTAAAAATTAGGTAATAAATAGTAGCTTTTAAATTGCACACATATGTCAGAGGTGCAGAGCAGGGTGGGCTTCTGATGCCTCTCACACTTGCCAAGATGGTGTCTCTCTGCTTTGGGTCTTTTCCTTCAACTTCTGTATCAGGTATTGTTTTAAGAATTGATTCCAGGCCAGGCGCAGTGGCTCATCCCTGTAACCCCAGCACGTTGGGAGGCTGAGGCGGGCAGATCACTTGAGGTCAGGAGTTCCTGACCAGCCTGGCCAACAGGGTGAAACCCCGCCTCTACTAAAAATACAAAAATTAGCCAGGCGTGGTGGTGCACGCCTGTAATCCCAACTACTCAGGAGGCTGAGACAGGAGAAATGCTTGAACCTGGGAGGCAGAGGTTGCAGTGAGCTGAGATATCACGCCACTGCAATCCTGCCTGGGCGACAGAGCGAGACTCCATCTCAAAACAAACAAACAAACAAACAATTGATTCCACTGATTTAGACAAAAGGCATCTCAAATCTATACAACTTACAAAACACCACTGCAGACTGTCAGCCACCATGACAGCTGAACACCACCATCATTTAATACCACAATTTAGCCCAAGAGCTATGTGGAGCCCTTTTATCATTACTGATCTAACTCAATCTTTGAAATCCTCTTTACAACCTTAGCAAATTTTGTTGATTTCTTGAATTACAGTGTGATATTAGTCCTTATAAAACTAATTCAGAACCATGATTTCCTTTTTAAATAACTGATCTTTCTTTCTTCTGTATTTTCCTTAAGGTGTGAAGTGGGTTATACTGGTGTCCGATGTGAACATTTCTATTTAACCGTCCACCAACCTTTAAGCAAAGAATATGTGGCTTTGACCGTGATTCTTATTATTTTGTTTCTTATCATAGTTGTCGGTTCCACATATTATTTCTGCAGATGGTAAGTCAGCATGTTTTTTATACTCTGCTTTTATAAATTATTTTTACATAATGCAGACCTATAAACTGGGTAAAAATATGGATAAAGTATTAGAGAGATAAGATCAAACGTGTACAAATGACATTTACAAGAGTTGAGAAACTATTAAGTATTATGCCCAATACCTGAGAGATCGGATCAATTGTACCCCAAATCTCAGCATCATATGATATACCCTGTTAAGAAACCTGCACATGTACCCCTGAATCTGAAATAACTTGAAATTCTTTTTTTAAAAAAATGTTTTTGCTGCAGAACATCTGGATTGAACTTTATGATCAGCTCTGGTACTTATTACCTATGTGAGCTTACATAAGTCAAATTGAGAGTATCAATTCCTTTCTTTAGAAAATATGGACAGAAATTCTTATCCTACATTAGTTACAGGGTGGCTGCTTTTAGTGTGTAATATAATATTTCATGTGAAAGTAAATCATAGGAAAGGGGCTACTGTTGTAGTTAACCACCTGAATTTAATTCATCAAGTCACATTTTTTCTTTTATAAAAACAGCCTTGTAAATTAGTAACCTCAGAAGCTTGGGTTATCTTACCATTTAAGGCAGACTGGTGGAACTATTTCTAGAGAATTATAAAAAACGGTTGTTAAAAAAGAGTTTGTGTTGGTCCCCCCAAACAGTCGTACCCCATCCTCATGTGCATTATTGTCACGAGCTGAAGACAGAAAAAATAGAAAGTGAACATTAAAGTCTAGTTTGGCAGGATTTTTTCAGGGTTAGGAGCAAAGGATGGGGACAGCGTGGATTAATTAACAGCCGCTCCTTTTAAAATGTCTCCATGAAACATATTTTGAAACAGGTTCAAATTACTCAAGGTGGATTTAAGTTTTTATTTTTCTGTGAAAGTAGCGCACTTCCAATTTTGAAGGTCTGAAAGTGTGCTACTTTCATAATATTAAATTTATTTTGTCCGTATGTGATTTTAAGTATCCATCAAATAATAATGCCTTCATAATAAGTTGCCATGACAGAACTAAATACTATTAAAACTGAAATATGCCTGAAAATCTTTGACCACAATCCTTCCCTTTATAGATGGTGCACTGAGGCTTAGAGAGGTTCATTCACATATCCCAGCTCATATAGTTGACAAATGCCAGAGTTAAGAACAAATTCTTTTTAATTCATATTCTTCCAGTAAACATAGACATGATGTGGTTTCCTCAAAGCTACATGTCTCATTTCCAAAATAGGGACAAAATAAACTCAAAAATATTAGGAAAATAGCTTAATTAATAAATGAAAGAAGATTCTCAATTATGACAAATCTATGAATCCTAGGTGTGAGACCTTGGGCACGTTATATATAACCCATTTGTATTTCACTTTCTTCATCTGTAAGATGAGGATGGTAACAGCAAATGTGAAGGTAAAATAAATAATGCATATATAGCACTTAGAAAATTGTAGGTCACCAAATTAGTGCCTGATAAATATTATTTTTATTTTGATTAGTGATAGCATTATATCAATGTGATGGACAGAGTGTATGAATGTAGCATGATTTGTAAATATTCATTCCTTAGAAGAGAGGAAGGAAAAAGAAAGAAAGAGAGACAGAAAAAGAAAACCTAAAACTCAGACTTAAATGTGGCCACACTCCTCTTGGAATTTCACAATAGTCACGATCACATTAAAGACTTGGAGAAACTCTTTAAGTGTGTTTTATCATGTCATTCCAAAATTGTTTGACTACAGCACACCACCTCTTCATCCCTCTTTTTTTTTTTTTTTCTAACCTTGTCCAACCTAAATCTGTTCAACTTTGTCATTTTGGAAACACTATGCTAATGTGCTTTTGCAGTCCATATATGACACACTTTTTCCTTTACTGTTAACTGCAGTGCTAACAGTTTCGTTTGTGAATATTTCCAGGTACAGGAATCGAAAAAGTAAAGAACCAAAGAAGGAATATGAGAGAGTTACCTCAGGGGATCCAGAGTTGCCGCAAGTCTGAATGGAGCTGTCAAACTTATGGATAACAAGTTTGACAGGGATATGGCAGGGATAACAGTGTGCCTGGTTAATATTAATATTCCCACTTTGTTAATAATATTTATGTTGGGTCAAGTGTTAGGTCAATAACACTGTATTTTAATATACTTGAAAAATATTTTTATTTTTGTTCTATTGTTGACAGACTATCTGCTAATGTATAATGTGCAGAAAATATTTAATATCAAAAGAAAATTGATACTTTTATAAAAGTAATTTCCTGAGCTAAATGCTTCATTGAAAGCTTCAAAGTTTATATGCCTGGTGCACAGTGCTTAGAAGTAAGCAATTCCCAGGTCATAGCTCAAGAATTGTTAGCAAATGACAGATTTCTGTAAGCCTATATATATAGTCAAATGATTTAGTAAGTATTTTTTTTCCTACTCAAATCAATGATAATTGGTTTGACTGTACCAGGGTTTGATATGTTAGTTGGCACCACGGTGTCACATATTAAAACAGTAATGCAATTGGAATTTGGGAAAAGCAAATATAGGTCCTATGTTAAACACTACACATTTGAAACAAGCTAACTCTGGGGACTCTGGTCTCTTCACTCAGGTCTCAGCTATAACTGTTATATGAGGGGCAGTGGACCGTTCCCTATGCCAACTCATGACTCCTACATGTACTAGTCACCCATCTACCAGATTCTGCCTATGTAAAATGAATTGAAAAACAATTTTCTGTAATATTTTATTTAAGTAGTGGGCATTTCATAGCTTCATGATATTCCTTTTTTTGTATATTACAACATTTATGTGAGGTAATTATTGCTCGATAGACAATTAGAAAAAAGTCCATACTTGAAGCCTAAATTTGTGTTTCTTTTTAGGATATTTCTTTTTATAGGTACTTTGCTGAATTCTAACATTAAATCACAGTCCAAAATTTGATGGACTATTATTTTAAAGTATATGAAGACAATAATTCTACATGTTGTCTTAAGACATGCTGTCTTTTATTCAAGAAAGTTTTAACTTTAAAACAGCTCAGTAAATGGCTTCTTCTAGAATGTAAAGTTATGTATTTAAAGTTGTATCTTGACATAGGAAATGGGAAAAAACTTAAAAATTGACATAGTGTATTTTTCCAAATGAAAATCTCAATTGAAAGCATTTAAAATGTAGAAACTTAAACACACCTTCCTGTGGAGGCCGAGGTGAAAACTAGGGGTCATTTTTCTGACATTTGTTTATTTTTTGGAAGAGACAAAGATTTCTTCTGCACTCTGAGCCCATAAATCTCAGTGAGTTAATAGGAGTATTTTTGGGCTATTGCATAAGGAGCCACTGCTGCCACCACCTTTGGATTTTATGGGAGGCTGCTTCATCGAATGCTAAACCTTTGAGTAGAGTCTCCCTGGATCACATACCAGGTCAGGGAGGATCTGTTCTTCCTCCACTTTTATCCTGGCATGTGCTAGGGCAATGAAGACATAATAAGCCATGGTTGACCTCTGGAGCACCAGATGCCAGGACTTGTCTCCATGTGTATCCATGCATTATATACCCTGGTGCAAGGGATCACACGACTAAAGTCATCTAAAGTCCTGGCCCTGCCCTTACTATTAGGAAAATAAACACAAAAACATATATTCACATACATATTGTATATATATTCACATATATATACAATATGTATGTGACATATATTCACATAAAGACATATATTCACATACATATTGTATATATATTCATATACAAACATGTATGTATACATGACCTTAATGGATCATAGAACTGCAGTCATTTGTTGCTCTATTAACCATTTATATAAAACTTAAAAACAAGAGAAAAGAAAAATCAATTGATCTAAAAAGTTATTTCTGTTTCCTGTTTAATATAGCTGAAGTCAAAGTATGTAAGAACACATTTTAAGTACTCTACTTACAATTGGCCCTCTGTGGTTAGTTCCACATCTGTGGATTCAACCAACCAAGGATGGAAAATACTTTAAAAATAATACAACAAAAAGCCAATACAGTATAACAAGTATTTACTTTTTTTAAAAATTTTTATTTATTTATTATTTTTTTTTTTTTTGAGATGGAGTCTTGCTCTGTCGCCCAGGCTGGAGTGCAGTGGCACAATCTCGGCTCACTGCAACCTCCACCTCCTGGGTTCAAGCGATCCTCATGCCTCAGCCTCATGAGTAGCTGGGTCTACAGGTGCACGCCACCACGCCCAGCTAATTTTTATATTCTTAGTAGAGACAGGGTTTCACCATATTGGCCAGGATGGTCTGAATCTCCTGACCTCGTGATCCACCCGCCACAGCCTCCCAAAGTGCTGGGATTACAGGCGTGAGCCACCGCACATAGCATTTACATTAGGTATTATAAGTAATGTAAAGATGATTTAAGTATACAGGAGGATGTGAATAGGTTATATGCAAACACTATGCCGTTTTGTATAAGTGACTTGAACATCTGTGCCCGATTTTAGTATGTGCAGGGGGACGATTTAGGAATCAGTCCCCTGTGGATACCAAGGTACAACTGTATTTATTAAACTTACTAGATGTGAAGACAGTCTGCCTATTTTCAGTGATCTTGGCTGTTTCAAAGAAAATCTATTGACTCTTCAATAAATCAGCTGCAATCCATTTATTTCGTTTACAAAAGATTTATTGTAAGCATCTCAATCTTGGTTTGTCAGTTTATCTTAAGCATCTCAATTCATAAAAACAAGTGTTTTTCATATTTTTCATCTTTAAGAATGCTTAAAAAAGCTAATCCCTAAAATAGATCTTTGTAAATGCATATTAAATAATAAAGTATGACCCACATTACTTTCTATGGGTGAAAATCATACAAAAATAATTGTTTTAGTGAAGATGGTGCTGAGTAAACATAAAAACTGATTGCTCTCAGCTCATGGGTCCTGTACACAGTGGAAAAATTTTAGTTCACATTTAGTCTAACTCCCCCATTTTACAGATTTCTCACTATATATATTTCTAGAAGGGGCTATGCATATTCAGTGTATTGAGAACCAAAGCAACCACAAATGCATAAATGCACAATTCATGGTCTTCAACCAAGGCCACATAATAACCCAGTTAATCTACTCTTTAACCAGGAATATTAAGTTCTATAACTGGTACTCAAGGTTTAACCTTAAAATTGAGATTTCCTTAACCTTAACCTTAACCTTAAAATTGACATTTTATTAAACATACATAATACAGTGTAACTCCACTGTTCTCCTAAATATTTTTTTGCTCTAATCTCTCTGCCAAAAGTCAAAGTGGTGGGAGAATTGGTATACTGGTATGACTATGCCTTAAGTCAGATTTTTATTTATGAGCCTTTGAGACTAAATTCAATCACCACCAGGTATTAAATCAACTTTTATGCAGCAAATATACGATTCTAGTGTCTGACTTTTCTTAAATTCAATAATGCAGTTTTTAAAAACCTGTATCTGACCCACTTTGTAATTTTTGCTCCAATATCTATTCTGTAAACTTTTGAAAACAAAGTTTTTAATTCGATGCTCAATATATTCTGACTTTTAAAAAATTCTTGTTCATATGGAAGAAGAGGGAGTAACAACTTGTACAAACAGTATTTGTGGTGTGTATTTTGATGTTTTAAAGAAGAATAATTTTATTTAAATATCTGTTATTCAAACTTAATGATGTTAAATGTAATATAATGTATTTTCCTTTTATTTTGCACTCTGTAATTGCACTTTTTAAGTTTGAGAGCCATTTTGGTATACACTTTGTATTAAAGATGCTATGGAACATAAAGTTGTATTGCATGCAGTTTAAAGTAACTTATTTGACTATGAATGTTATCAGAGTACTGAATTGTATCAATTTGTTTGTGTTCAATATCAGCTTTGATAATTGTGTACCTTAAGATATTGAAGGAGAAAATAGATAATTTACAAAATATTATTAATTTTTATTTATTTTCTTGGGAACTGAAAACAATTGAAATAAATAAAAATGCATTGAACATCATGCATTCAAAATCTATGTTGACAATGCAGCTTCATTCTTTTTTTTTTCTTTTGCATTTTTTCCCCCACAATACATTAAAGGGTTTAAAAGCGGTGACAGGGATATAATGTGTGTAGATACAAAGACTCAATGGTGTTCATTTGAGAAAAAATTCTATAAATGTATCACATTTTATAGCCAGCATAGTGAAGAATTTCTTGAAATAGAAGGAGCCACATTAGTTATAAAATTCTAGGTGTTGGTATTTAAAAATCCTAGAAGTTAGGTTTTTTTTTTTTTTTAGACAGAGTCTTACTCTATTGCCCAGGCTGGAGTGCAGTGGTGCAATCTTGGCTCACCACAGCCTCTGCCTCCCAGGCTCAAGTGATTCTCCTGCCTCAGCCTCCGGAGTAGCTGGGATTACAGGCACGCGCCACCATGCCCTGCTAATTTTTGTATTTTTAGTAGAGACATGGTTTCACTATGTTGGCCAGGCTGGTCTCGAACTCACGACCTTGTGATCCACCCACCTCCGCCTCCTAAAAGTGCTGGGATTACAGGCGTGAGCCACCATGCCCAGCCTGGAGTTAGTATTTTTTAAAATAATATTTTAAAGAGTATTTCAAAAGAGTATTTCTAAAAAGAATAGATATCCTATTGGGAAGTAGCATTTGAAAGGATACATCAGCTAGAATGGTGTCTCAAGATTCTCTCAGCCTCTGTGAAGAGGTGTGACTCCCCTGAGCCTTCAGAGCAGACAAGCTTGATTCTTCCCACCCTCCATCACAGTGATGGATGGCTTACTTGGTTTTCCTTCAGCAGTCTACAGAGTACTTGCTCCATTCCTTAGCTCCTTGGATCTTTCGTTAGCTTGCGGCTGGGGAAGGGATCTATGGCTTTGACTGTCTGACAGGGAGGTTAAGCAATTTGTTCTGGGTCACACCACTGGCAATAGGTGGAGTGTCATGAGAACTGAGGTCTTCTGACTCCTAATTCCACTAACGTTCTGGCCGTGTCAGAGGCAGAGGAAGATTATAAGGAGTTAGTCTCAGATTTAGTTTAGAGTTTTCTTGGGAGAAATAGAAATTCTTATAAAATAGAATCTTTGAATTGTCATAGAATCATTACATTGGTTTAGTTCAAGGTCTGAGAATCCAGAATATTAAGGAAGAGAACTCTTAGAAACACTTTTTTTCTCTTGGCTTCCAGGATATCACACTCATCTGCTTTTCTACCTGCTTCTCAGTCTTTTGCTAGATCTTCCTCAATATTTCCCAATCCTCTACCATGGACCTGTCAACAACAGAGTGCTCCAGAGCTCAATCTTGTAATTTTTCTCTCTGTACAACCACTCCCTACTTCATTTCATACAGTTTCATATCTTTAATTGCTGTCTATATACTGATTACTCCCAGTCTAGATATTTGCCATGAGTTCCAGATGTCTGTGTCCAATTACCTAACATCTCCACTTACATATTCACTAGACATTCAAAGGTGACACGTTCAATAACTAATATTCCCCTAAAAATGTTTCTTCAATAATATTCCTTTTTCAATTAAATTCAACTCCATCTTTCTTGTATCTCAGACCAAAAACCTGCTATCTCTTTCTGAGAGGCGCTAAATTACCCATCTTCAAGTGATTTCAGAGAGAAATACCCTAAACTTTTACAATGATGGCATAATTGGTCATTTTGAAGAGATTATGCAGAGGGGAGAAAAAGATTCCAAGAAACTGGAGTTACACAGAATATCAGAGTCTTCAAAAGGATAAAATTATAAGCACTGAATTTGACTCTGATCAATGCTAGAACATATTTTTCCCTAAATAGTCATAAAACATGAAATATATGTGCTGTTCATTAAGTTCCAACATGAATTCATTAAGAAAAGACATAAAACATGGATCTCTTTTAAATACCCTGTCTGGTCACCCACTAATGTTAACTATCTATCATACAAAACCAAACACAGATACTCTGCTCAGTTTATCTAAATTTCAGAGAAATCCTTGGGAAAAGACTCCCATAATTTTCTTATTAGTTTGTAGTGCAATGTACCTATTAAGAAAATAAGCAAAACTTATGCTCATTTAATGCAGATAATGTAAGTGGATCCATTACATGCTAAATAAATGGAGACCATGTGACTAGGTGATACAGAACAGATAAGGGATTGGTTATACTAGTGTATGATACAAAATATACATAAAAATAAAATCATATATTGTTGACCAATGATGATCTTTCCAATTAATCTATGAATCAATGATTTTCTATTATTCTCAGCACTGTCCCTTCTTCTGGGGATGGCAGGATGTGTTCCAAAGAAGTATGTGTCATGTTTCTGACCTTCAAGTTACTATCAGGAACAATTTGCATTCTTAAAAAAGGATAAAAACAGTGCTTTTTTAATTAATCAATCAATATTTATCGAAAAGCTTTTCTGTGTCTAGTAATTTGCAAATGCTTGTGGAATATTCAAAAGAGTATAAAATATACTATCATTTACAAAATAAATAGGAGAGAGATTCAAAGTTATGAGAACATTTAAAGAACAGTGGAGGCTTTAACAGTTAGGGTTTCTTGATTTTTAGGGGAAAAAACGCAATTCTGGTGAAACTAAAAAATTTATAGGAAAGTTATAAGAAAGTCAATAGAATT